TATGATTTGGACTGCATGTAGTATAGGCAGATTTGAGAAGTTAAATGTAGCTAAAGAGACACTATGTAAAGGGCAGAAAGTCTTGGGAAGGTACTGCCTGCTGCCAGAATGTTTGGAGGAGAAAAGTAGCATGTTTATTTTTTGAAAGATTAAAAAAGAATACACTATACCATTATAAACAGTAACTCAATTAAATAAACTGTTTAGCTGAATTTTTCATTCTGAACACAAATGAAGGACATTATGTGGAAAACAGCTTGGAGGAGGTCCTGAGGAGGTGGCAGATATTTGTTTCAAGAAGCTAAGGCTGATGTCCACATTATAAGGCATGCTGTTTTCACCAGTTTAACAAACATTTTTTTTCTCAACCCATAACCCTGCTTATGACCCAAATGAAGGTGATTTATAGAGAGGAAAAAAGAATTCTCAAAAAATAGGAAGTTACTGTTCCCTGCCTCTCTGACTTTGACAAACTGCTAGATTTTCCCACTTGCAGGAAGCAGCTATCTGATTTCACAGTGTGCAGTGAGTGGGTCTTGAAAAGAGGGGTTCACATTTTAGATTCTCAGATCCTTGTAGAGCTTCATCTGAGAAGGAGATGGTGAAGACAGGAAGGGTTGAGAGGGAGAAAGAGAAGTATTGGTGTAGAGTCTTCCACAATGTTTTTGGGAAAACAGAGACTAGATTGGCATGGGAACAAGAATACAAAAGTGATGGGCTAGGGCAATGCTCAGTGGGTAAAGCACTAGCTGTACAAACATGAGGATTTGAATTTGGATCCCCAGAATCCACGTAAAAACTATATGTGGTAGTATGTGTCTATAATAGCGCCTCTATGGTGAGAGGGAAGACTGAGATTGGAGAATCCCTGGAAGCTCGTGGGCCAGGTAGCCTGGTGTACTCAGCAGTGAATAAGAGGCCCTGTTAAACAAGTGGAAGACAAGGACTGATGTTCTAGGTTGTCTTCTGACTTCCACACAGGCACTGTGGTATGCCCACACTGACACCCCCACACACAAAGACACACACACCAATACACACCACACACACACACACACACACACACACACACCAGAAAAAGAGAGTAAGTCCCTAAAAATGTGACAGACTACTAAAACTCATTGCTAGCAATGATGTAAGAGAAACAAGTATTCTTACACATCACAGGCAGGTGTGTAAATGTACATAACTATGTTCAGAAACAGCTCGGCATTGCATACTGTCCTAGTCTGTTCTTCATTGCTGTGACAAAACACTCTGACCAGTACCAACTTGGGGAGGAAAGGGTTTATTTGTCTTACATCTCCCAGGTCACAGTTCATCAGGGAGCCCAAGGTAGGAACTCAGGGCAGGAACCTGGAAGCAGGAGCTGGAGCACAGGCCATGGAGGAACTTTGCTTACTGGCTTGCTTCCCTGGCTCCTGCTCAGCTTGCTTTCTTATGTAACACAGGCCCACCTGCCCAGGGGTGGCACCACCCACAGTGGGCTGGGCCCTCCCACATCACTCATCAAGAAGATG